ATCTTATTTTGTGCAGTGTTTGTTAAAATATTTTGCATTTCGAGGCAGCTTTTCAGGTCCTGATCTGTGGTGCACCCAACAGACCACACAGGAGAAGCCTTAATTGGCTGCCAGTCATGGGGCCACGTGGGTAGCCAATGATAATGGCCCGTTTGTCTGTACCACACAGCACAGAGTTGTAGGTGGAGTGGATTCAGATCCATTATTATTGTCCACTGGTCTCAGTCAAAATGTGCCATTTTGTGATGGACAGACACAGAGAGCCAGTGTATTCAATCACCTTTTAGTTTTCTGGATGTATCCATGAACAAAGACAAACTATTTACTAAAACATGTTGAAACACTAGGCCCCTTTGGCGAGGACAAGGCAATATCATCCCCTATGTGTTTTCTTTGATGGGTTTATGATGATTTTATCCTTCATGTTCTGATCTCTGTTTCATCTCAAATTACATTTTGAGGACGGTGGAAGGGTCCAGACTAATTTTTTTTTCCTTGTTGATATCTAATTGTTTCAAATGGTATTTGCTAAGATGTTTTTCCTTCCCCCTTTTTGATTGTTTTAACAGTTATGTTAAATATAAAGATTATTTTGTATGTGTGGGTCTATTTATGGACTTCCTACAATGTTCCATCGATACATTTGTCAGTTTTTATTCTAGTACTATAGGTCTTGATTACCATAGCTTTATTGTAAATCTTGACATCAGGTTGTAAGCTCTACAAATTTTCTTCTTTTACAATATCTTTTTGGATATTTKAGACTGTTAAGATTTTAATAACATAATCAGTTTGTCAATTTCATTAAAAAAAGAGAGAAACTTTATGGGAACCTGATAAGGATTGCACTGAATTTATAGATGAATCTAGGGGAAATTATAACAAAACTAAATCTTCTAATCTGTGACCATAGTATATTTCTTCATTTATCTAACACTTTTTTGATTTTCTGAAGTAAAGCACTGTTATGTAATTTGGAGGAAAGAGAGCTTGCACAATTTTTGTTAATTTATTCCTAARTATTTTATGTMAATAATTCATATTAAATTCATATTCATTTCTCCTGCTGCTAACTCCTTAATAAACAATTACATTTTATTTGTCGATTTTGTATCCTGTCATCCTTTGTTGAATTTATTACTTTAACAATTCTTTGAAAGATTTCCTAGTACTTCCTATACAAACCATCATCACCTGCAAAGTAGTGAAGTTTCCATTTTTTTTTTTCTAATCTATTTAGTTTGCAGTGCTGGGGATGAAACCCAAGGCATTATGCATGTTAGACAAGCTCTCTATCACTGATCTAAAGACCTAAGCTTTTTGTTTTTAAATTTTATTTTCTTATTTTGTTGCAGCTTCTTAGACTTCCAATAAAAAGATGAATAGAAGTGGTGTGGTGAACATCCTTTATTCCTTTTGTTTTTAGGGAGAAAGTGCTTAATATTTCATCATTAAGGCTGATATTAGCTGTATCTTTTTCATAAATCTCCCTTTGAAGGTTGTAGAAATTCCCTTCTATGCCTGTTTCTGAAATTATTTTTTAAAATGTGAAAGTTCATTGAATTTCATCAGATATTTTTATGCATTCATGTAGGTTCATATGATATTTCTTTTTGACTCTGATAAATCACATTGCTTAATTTTCAAATGTTAGGCCAACTTTGTATCACTGAAATTAACMCCATTTGATCAGGAGGAATATTAATCTGTATGTTTTTTGAAACATTTTTATTTGGTTTGTCTTTAGAGTCACGAAGTCTCATAAAATTAGTTGGGAAGTGTTACTTTATTTTCTGAGTTTGTGTAAAATTTATATCACTTCATTCTCAAAAAGTTATTAGTCTTTAACTGTGAAATCACCAGGGAATGAAAATTTTCATGGCAAAAGTTTTTTTTTTTTTTTAATAGGTTTAATGACTTTAAAAGAGACGTGGCTTTCACATTTCTTTTTCATTTTGTTTCATTTTTAATTGTCTGTAATTTCCACAGTATTTGTTAAGTTCATCCAAGTAGCTTTTAGTGCATTCTTACAATTTTATCTTCTCTTGGCATTCATTTTGTGTATGAGTGGGACTTTCTTTTTACAGAAGAGGGACTCAGTCACCACTGACAGGTTCTCCTGTCTCCGCCTCCTCCCAGTTCCTCAAGGTGGTCAATCCAACYGACTCCCCCTCTAGCCCAATGTCTGTATACCTTCCACACATGAACAAGTGACCACCTTTGAGTCACTGTCGAATACTCAGAACTCATAACTGCTTACTCTAAGGCCATCAACTGGGACTCTCTGTAGTAAATGTTTCTAGGTGATTCCGTGGATTCCATGAAGGCTTCGGGCCATGAGAACCTCTGCTTCTCTCAACTCCTCACCCACTGTGTGGGCATGCCTTCCTGGATGGTTCCCCCTCTCCTTGGCTTGGCAGGCCTGCTCCTCTCTTCTCTGGATCTGTCAGTAATAAGGACTGACTTCTTCTGTTGATCCATGGGGTTTGTCTTGCTGCCTCCTCGGACCAGCACACCTGAAGCTGCCTCTCCACCTGGAGAGTGGCCAAAAACAGTCAACTGGACACAGGTCAGATAAAGGCTTCAAGGACATCAGGCAAAATGACACTTATCCTATGTGAGGGACACCTGGGCAGGGATCAGGCACATGAGCCACCAGCCAGGATGAAAAGGTGCCCTAGGAAAGGAACACCATAGAGATCCAGGAACACCTTCCCGGGATCCTATTGGGGAAGATTGGAATTGATAGCCACTCGCCCCAGAAGGACTTCATGACCAAATGAGAGGAAAACACGACTCTGTTAAACTTGTTGTTATGAGATCCACATAATATTCTGTCTATAAGATACACATGAAAACATTTTCTTCCCACTGGTATTGGTGATTTGTGTTAAGTCTCCTTTTGTCCTTGATGTTGCTAGCCATGGATTTACTAATTTTTCATAGCTTCCTTCTTTAGTTGCTATTCTTTCTTTTTTTTTTCCTCTGCATATTTTAGGTTTACATTCTCTCTCCACTCCACCCACAGTTTCTTAACTAGAAACTTTAGTTCATTGATTTCTACTTTTCTAACTAGCATTTAAAGCTATGGGTATCCCTCACATGAATGCTTTAATTACATACTTACTATTTTTTAATAGTTGCATTTTCTTTATTATTTATTATAGAATATTTATTTTTTCTTCGGGTATCTTCATGCATTCTTTAGAAATGAGTTTCTAACAACAAAATATAAAAAATTATTTTTCATAATCTTATTGTGTTATTGTCAGAGATTTCTGTGCATTTCTATTCTTGTAAAGTTGACATAGTTCAATATTTTGTCTTGCATACAATACATGCATTGAAAAGTGCTTACTCTACACATCCTAAACACAGAATTTTATAAATATAAGAGAGGTTGATACGATATTTTTCAGAACTTCTGTTCAGATGATCTAATACTTATTTATTCTTCTAGATGTTCTATCAATTGCAGAAAGACAAAGATTAAAATTTACAATTGCAATTGGAGAATTTTCTCCCTTTTTATGTGTTTTGAAGCTCTGTTATTAAGTACCTATACATTTGTAACCATGATATGTTCCTGAAAAATCACTTCATTTTCATTATGAAATATTCTTGTTTTCTCTAATAGTACTCTTTGCTTCGAATGTATTTTACATATTAGTATAGTTAAGTCAGCCTTCTTATGCCTTTTGTTAGCATAAATGTATTTTCTAATGTTAACTTCAGCCTGTTTGTGTCTTTATTTTCATTTCTGTSTTTTTATTTTTAAAGCATGTCTCCTAAAGACATATCTGGCTTTTCTTCTTAATCTATGCTGACAAATAGCTCTTAATTGGTATAGTTAGCCTATTACTCTTAATGTAATGATTGCTATGATTGGACTTAGGCCTAACATTTCCTTTGTTTTCTATTTTGCATTATTCTTTTCCCCTTTTCCTACATTACTTGAATATGTTTAATTCCATTTTAAAATAGCCACTTTTTTAGTTACAACTTTCTGCTTTAATTTTTAATGCCTTCTTCAGGTACTAAAATGTACATTTTCAAGTTTTAAAACTCTACTTTTGGTAAAGATTATACCACTTAATGTAAAATATGGAAATATTACCACCATACAAGCTCATTAGCTACTCAACCTTTATTTGTACGTTTCTCTCTCTCTCAAACACACACACACACACACACACACACACACACACAGAGTTTTCAATTTAAGATGGTTCAAAGTACAATTTTTTTTTCACTTCATGATGGTGCAAAAGCCATACACATTCACTAGAATACATACTTTATGTTTTGACATTTTCCCAGACCAGTGATGTGACATGGTATTCCCTCATGATGCAGAAGGAGTGACATGCAGCTCCCAGTCATCCACGTGACAGGAGAGAACCAGTCAACATTCTGCAGTGTCCTGTATTGTTCGTTCATTTTGAATAATACGTGAGACATTACACATTTTATTACTAAACAGGATTTCCATTAGATAATTTTGCCAAATTAGGAGTTAAAAGGACTGTGCTAGGCATGTTTAAGTTAGGCCAGACTGGTCTATGCTGTTCAGTAAGCTAGTGCATTACCTTTATTTTTTAATAAATTGACTTATTTGGCTGGCTGCAGTAGCACACATCTGTGATCCCAGTGGCTGGGGAGGCTGAGACAGGAGGATTGCAAGTTCAAAGCCAGCCTCAGCAATGGCGAGGAGCTAAGCAACTCAGTAAGACTCTGTCTCTAAATAAAATACAGAATAAGGCTGGGGATGTGGCTCAGTGGTGGGTGCCCCTGAGTTCAATCCCGAGTACATCACCCCTCCCCTAGCAAAAAATAATATAAATAAATTGACATGTTTACTTGTGTGTTGTTTTTATCACATATCCTGATTTGATTCGCTTTGCATTTTCCTTTCTTTTTTTTCTATATATATATATATATATATATATTTTTTTTTTGTAAAATAAAAATAAATCTACTTTTACTAACCAGAAACATGGGTAGGGTACACCATTCCTAGAGGGACTGAAATACCAGATGGAACCATGGAGTAGATGGAGCTCTGATTCCATCTTCCTGCTCCAAAAATCCATTTTATATCTTGTCCTGCGATAGAAGACGTGTCACGTATTAAATTGACAAGAAAAGATAGATGCCATTTGGATCTCAGCCAAAAGACTGAGAAGTGTTTCCCTGTGCCTCTTGAATCTGAAATTTTTTTTTTTATCATTCACCAAACTTTGGGAAATTTTAACCATTACTTATTCAAATAAGTTTCCTTCTCCTCTTCCTATATTACTTTAATTATGTGTCTCTTAGACTCTTTGATATAGATTCACATGTTCTGAATATTCTTTCCTTTAAAAAATATTCTCCTTCCTTTTCTGTATTTGATAATATCAACCCATCCATTTTTACATTCACATATCTTTTCTCTTTCATCTACATTATATTTCTAAAGAATCTCTAGAACTTTGAGGATAATGYTCAGTTGTAGAATTTCTACTTGGTTGTACATTATATTTTCTATTGATCTGCTTAGATTCCCTGTATTCCTTCATCAAAACAGGTTTTTCTTCATAGCACTGTGCATAATTATAACATCTGCTTTAAAAGTCATTGTGTCTGTYGTATTTCTAGCAACAGAGGCAACTTCCCAATTCTCTGTACTTGTTTCTCTTGATTATGGGTCAATGTTTTGTTTTGTCACATGCTGGATATGTCTGTATTATATTCATAAAATGATAACTATTAGGGTGTGAAGACTGGATTGTAGTATATTCCTTCAAGGAGTTTGGTTTTTGGCTTTGGCTTTGGCAGCCAATTAACTTAGTTGGCATCTCATATCACAGTTCCATTCTTTTATTCTTGATGTGACTGCTTTGACTTTGCCTTCTCCACACATATTTCAGAGTGGAGTTGAATAATTTAGGTAGAGTTTGACACAGAATTCTAGATGTTCTTCCTATGCTTTCTCTTTTCTGTTCTCCCCTTCTTGTTAGCAACCATGATCAGCCTCAGGTCTTTCTACAGGATATTCTAGACTAAAATGTGGCCACTCCACCATGACCACTGTGGTCCACTCACATGATAAAAACCACAAATATGGGAAATTCTTCCCATGCCATTTCATTTTCCCAAATGTGGATCCATGCCCACGCATTTCCCACTTGTTTTTTTCACTTTTCAGAGTCATCGGGTGATAATTTTGTGTTGTGCCCATAATATGTGGCTTTACCTATGGGAGGGTCAGGTTAGCAGTAGTCAACTTGGCCTTATAGAAGGGAACAGAACACATTAGAACTATGTTCCACTTAAGAATTAAATACAAACCCACCTTAATTCTGTTAGAGGAAGAAACAAAACACAGTTATAAAAATTTGCATGTAATAAGTCACTGCACAWCTAGAATACATCTCATCAAAGCAGCAAATGCAATTTTAAGTAAAAGAACTCTTTAGAAATGATCAMAATTACAAAATTGGTAAGTAAAGAGTGATGGCCTATCCTGAAATGCTCATTAATAGGTTATAAATATAAACACAAATAATAGAAATATAATAGGCTGATATACATATATTAAAATATTAAGTATATTAAATAATGATTAATATACCTTGTTGATTCATAATTTAAAATAAAACTTATTTGATTTTTTGGCTCACTAATTCTGCATTATATTAATAATGATTGGGTTGCATTTATTGAGATAATTTCATCTAGAGTTTGAAATCAGTCAAATAAAAACTAAAAAACATTTTGAAAGTAAGACCATCTAACAGTAGAAGTAAAAAATGACTGTGTGCTTTTAAAATCATTTAACAAACAAACAAAAGGCAGCAGAAGGCATAGATTGTGTAAAATCTAGATAAGTATATCATAATCATTACAGAGCTTTGGTTTAGTTATTTTCTTGTGATGAAGGGGGAGGAGTGATGTAGAATGTTTATGTACTCATGATTTTTTTCAGATTCTTAGCAGTCTGTATATATTGCATCAGTCATTGAACAAAAATAAAAAATTCTTTTTAAAACACTTGAAAAAATCTGAATAAAATATTTTATTTGGAGAAAATTCTACACCATGATTTAATTTGCTCTCAAGTTAAAAAAAAATGCCCTCTTGGAATTTATTTTATTTAATTCAGTGGAAAAATGTACACTCTTGCCTCTGGAGAATTCATTATAAGCTCCTTTGGCATTTCTTATATTTACTTATGTTGCTGCTTTACAGAATAAGGATCATACTTAATAAATACTAAAAACATATCACATTCTGAATTCATTAGGGAAATGTAAATATTCTAAGCATTTTAAAAAATTCCTTCAACACATTCAATTACCACTGCAACTTGGGGAAGATACATATTTGTATATATCCGCCGAATTCAAAGGAATGTATTTAGAATAATTTCTTAGAATCTTGAACTCAGTGTCAAGCTAAAGCGGGATAACAACTTTTGAAAACAGAACTCATCACCAGAGAAGCAAAAATGTACCACTGTTAAAAACCCACAGTTGCCAGGTATGGTGGCACACATCTGTAATCCCAGCTACTGAGGAGGCTGAAGCAGGAAAATCAAAAATTCAAGGTCAGCCTGAGTAACTGGGAGACTCTGTTTCAAAATAAAAATTTAAAAATAACAAGGATGGGGAGGTRCCTCAGTGCCTAACATGTACCCAGGACCCTAGATTTCATCCCTGGTACAGTTAAAATAAACAAACAGAACTCACAGTCAGCAATACTTACAGGACTTCTTGCTGCTATTCTCAATATGCAGTTAGAATCTTTGAATGTTCTAGAAGAACRTTTTAATGAAAGGTCCTAATGATCTCTGCATTCTGTGGTGGAGGATTGCTGAAAATACGAATAGACCAAGTGGGGAGGGCCAGTGGGATTCCTCAGAGAGGCCTGGTGGGCAGCCATCCCCGAGATCAGACACGTCAGGAGCAGCTGCTGGGTCTGGAGACAGTGCGTCACTGACGTCATTTTGCAGGTAGCCAGTGTTGACTTTCCTCTCCATTGTGCGGTTTTCTTCACTAGTGTCTCTGGGATAAGATAGGAGGTGGTGGAAATACATATCTGGCCACTGAACCTTTGAGACTGTTAGAAGCAAGATAATGACAAGGTAAAAAGTAAAAAAAAAAAAAAAATGTAATAAGTGAGAGTGAGGAGAAAGTGTCTGTGCTTATGGATGGACTTTGTAGTCCACTAGACTATGCCATGGGACAACTTGACACTGCCTACATGATGAGCYAAACCAAATGATTTATTTATTTATTTTTTTTGGTACCAGGGATTGAGCCCAGGGATGCTTGCCCACTGAGCCACATCCTCAGCCCTTTTATCTTTTATTTTGATCTATTTCTCCTCTGTCTAATTTGCTTTGGGTCTCACTAAATTGCAGAGGCTGGCATCAAACTTGTGATCCTCCTGCCTCAACCTCCTGAGTTGCTGGGATTAAAGGTGTGCAMCACTGGGCCAGGCTGAGCTAGATTATTCTGAGAGAGGAAACCAGATGGCCTTCGGCCACAGATGCAAGCCTTCCTTAGAGTAGTACAGGTGGACAGTGCTGAAAGGAGCTGGAGAGCCTGGATTCATCCTGAAATCATGAGGAAGAATTGATGGAAAGTGAGGTTGAAAGCAAACTGTTAGGTTAGAAGTAAAGTGAATGACAAATGATTACACCCTGCTTTCCTATTTCTGCATCATAACCTGGAATAAAGAACTTCATGTAGTCTACCTGCCCTACAGGGAAGGGCTGGGGAAGACATGGCTTCTCTGTGCTCACCGGGACAGGAAGAGTGAATAATTTGACCTGCTTGGGGATTCATTACAATATAGAATCATAGAGATGGTAGGGAAAGGGGGTCCTCTTAGCCATTTGACCTCTTGTGTCGGCCTGTACCAAGTCTCAGGGGATGTCTTTACTTCCTGGCCTTCATGCTAGACCTAATATTTTCGTTCTCATTCATTATACTCATCCAGTGTGACAGGGTTTCCAGGGTCTCTGCAGATTTGCGATATTCTCCTGGTGTAGATATTATGCAATTCCTGTGTAATGCATCTAGGGATTTCAAAGCTGGGGTGAAAACACATCTTCATGTTCAAGGCTTGTGTTCTGAGAAAGTGGATCAAAAACTATACAACTGGGAAGGATAAGGCACTTGTTCAATCATTTAACCCAGAACTATGAACTCCAGTAGATAGTGATTCTTGTTTTTTCTTATTGGTTAGAATTTTGGAGGGGAGTCAGGAGTGAGTTTAGGTCGTTGGCATCCTAAAACTCTAACAGTTTTTTTTTTTAAGATAGAATATTGATTCTTTTTAATAAAGATGTTATTTCATATTCAACTAAGAGAGGTGTGGTAAATATGCTGACATTAGGGCATGGACTCCTAATCAGGATGCAARTTTTAGTAATTTAGCAAGAACACACAATTCTCAACATATTACGTATCACGTCACTTGTTGAACATCAACTATGTACACCTTACGTGGTGAGTGCTTATTTATTGATCTGCTTATCTTGAAAGAAGTATAATTCATCCGTGACTTGCTTTTAAAATATTTTTCAAATAAAATATCTTTCCTTAGCATGGCTGCCTCTTATTGAAGACAGGCCAACAAGAAGTCTCCCTTACAGTTTCTCACACACAAAAGAAGAGGGATTTCCATTGATGTGTTGATGACATCATGTTGGCATGAGCCTGGAGGCTGCCTATGACCATCATCTTGGCATATGGAAAAGCCAGCCTATGGTAGGAGATCTACCATATTCATATCCGAAAAAAAGTCGCGGAGAGTCAGTGAAAATGAGTATTCTGACTGCTCCMAGTTCTGTGGTCATCCTCCTGCTSAGGTTCCTGYTTTGTGGATATTTGGTTGTKCGGYTTATCTGAGRATACAMTGGAAGTCTTCTAATAATCTCCTTGAAAGCTTTTCAGGAGAGTGCTGCTCTCCATTGCAAACAGAAGCCCTGATTAATGCACTGCATGCTTTACAGTAAATTCTCCTCATTTTCCACATCCCTAGATAGATATAGATTCTATTTTTATATAAGAAAAAGTTGGGCTAAGTCAGCTGTCTTATCCCAAAGTCTTTTTTTTTTTTTTTCCGCACTTCATCATTGTGCCTTTCCAGTGGGTTTTGGGAAGTCATTTGATTGAAAGTGACTGTAATAAAGGAAC